AATTAAGATAATTAAGTACGGATAATTGAGAAGATTTTTTTTACGAATTTCGAACAGTTTCATTTTCGAACGAAACAATGTTCGTGTCGACATCTGTACAGGGGTGCGATAAGCGGGCGTATCAAAGAGTTTACCGCGAACTCCACGAGATGGTGGAAGCTGTCGCGTTTGCCCTAACTTCGAGAGGGGGTGGTTTTTCCACCCCTTATCTCGCGGAAAGGAAGCTGTTTCTGTGTTACTGGCGGAGACGAGAACAGGGGCAAAGGGAAGGGCACCGGTCGATCTTTAGGGAGATTTTCGTTGATTTACAGCGCCATTATCGACGCGGCGCTCGCTCGCGCGTCAACCGGTTTCCACCCGGACATATGGAGACGCCCCCGTAAAAGGGGGCTGTAAATCCATTATTTACACGAGCGTGCGAACCGCCTGGAAGAAGGTCTCTGGCTTTCCGTAAATTACGGGACGTTTTCGCACACGCCTATGCCTCGTAAATACCTTGCTTTCCGTCTCAATCAATACACCAATAAAACTAATTGCGCTGCGCGAGAAATATCGATTTTAATAATAACCCGATCGTAACATTATAGTTCAGATGTTTCCATCTGATGTACTTTTTATTTGACTAGCACAACACAGGCGCGTGCTACGCGCACGCTATTGTTATTTTTATTTAACGTGTTGTCAGTGAACACAATCTGTCATCGCGATGACAGATAGTATATACGTTTTATAAACGTTTTATATAATACACATATAAGAATGTCAGAAATAACGCATGAAAATCAAACTCAAAATATAGTGAGAGAGAGAGAAAAGTGGAAAAACAACACGTGACTAAAGTCACGTGACAGGGAAAAGGGTAAAAAAGAGAATATTATATATAATATATGTAATATTCTATATCTATATATAATACACACTCATGCGCATATATGTATATATATATATACCGTAATCACGTGACCGAAGTCAGCAACACCGCCGCGGTCGCGCGGCCGAGGTCAGTGACTTCACCGCAGTCACGCGACCGCGGTCAGTGACCCCGCCCCCACCAAGGC